AAGTTTGAAAAGGGGGGAGAGACAAAGCTGTCCTCTTTTCCTTGCATCAGTGTAATAGTCAATGTTTCCTAGGGGAGGGGGAAAGTAACCTGGTTATAGATACACAGTTCTAGCTGGTACACGATGAAGACGTTTAAATTAAATAAGTATGGCATCCACATGTTGATGAGAGTTCCTGATGAACTAGAATCTTTAGTAACAGATGGGAAGAAAAAAAAATCCAACTGGCTGTGACCTCTTGTAACTCTATATTACATCCCAAAACAGGTAACACTTGGAAAAAGATAAGGGTCGCATCCTGCACTCCAAAGCTCCAGTTGGTCCCCTCGGGAGTGCAGGATCCGGCCCGCAGCATCTGGGTTTATGCGGGTTGTATTAGCCGAAGGTTTATTTTGCAAGTATCAAAAGGATGATCCGAGAAAGTAAATAGTCCTCTTGTTGCTTAGAGATTCTCTTAGTGTTTTGCTACTTCACAGCAGTATTGTCCTTCAAAGCCTTTTTAATTAAAAAAAAGTCTTAAATGTCTACTCGCTTCTTCATCTCCGTATTGTTAAAGTATTGCCACATACCTGTAAACTTACATGAGATTATAGAACACATAAGGGAGGGAGAGGAGGGGGCGGAAAGCACAAACAAGTAGTTTACAAGCTCAACAATTTTTCTTCCTTTTAATAACACCCTGCATAGGCTGGGGAGGTCTCCGGGGAGAGGGGCTGGGCGGCAGGGGCCAGAGGGAGTATGTACAAGCGGGAMGCGGCCGGCTTTGCAGGAGGTCGTGGTGGATCGTAACAACACACAACGCGTTGCGAGACAATTAAAAAGTAACAGTCCTTTGCACGCAGCGTGMGGAAACACCTTGGTTTGTCTCAGGGAATGCGGGGAGAGAAGCCCGGAAGGGGAGGAGGGGTCTCGGTCCCGGCGGCGGGGGTTGCACAGCTAGGAGGTGTTTAGCACGGGTCTGGAATACACACCTTGGTAGTAGGAGGGCTCTAGGGCCGAGGGCTCGATGCTGCTCCGGCCAGCCATGGAGGTGCTGCCCAGGGGCAGCCCGCCGGGGATGCTGGCACCGTAGGAGGAATATTGCAGCGCCTGCTCGTAGGCTTTGAAGTCCAGCTTGTGCTGCTGCTCCGAGGAGGACATGAGGTTGTTTATGGAAAACGGGTGGTTGAAGGAGTAGTGGGGATCGCCCTTGAGGTGGAGCTGGGGTTCGTGGGCTAAGGAGTGAGGGGGATGTGGGACGGAGGCCAAGGTGGGTACAGAGCTGATGGTGGAGGAGGCGGCCGAGGCCGAGGTCTTTAGTTCCGTGCTTGATCCACTGTGGTCCATAGACTGGGGGCTTGTGGACGGGTTGGAGCTGGAGAGGGAGGTGGTGGTGTCCAGCTGAGCAGGTTTGCTGTGGCCTCTGTGCAGGGGGGAGCTGGAGCTTGAACTAGAGGCCCCGGCCTGATCTTTCCTGCCCTCCTGAGTGCCTTTACTGTTGGCCGGCTTCTCGCACTTGAAGCGCTTTTGCCGGCGGAGGTAACAGCCATTTTCAAACATGTTGCCGGAGTCGGGGTGTAGGGTCCAATAGGAGCCCTTGCCGGGCTTGTCGGGGGAGCGGGCCACCTTGACGAAACAGTCATTGAAAGAGAGCGAGTGGCGGATGCTGTTCTGCCAGCGTTGCTGGTTCTGTCGGTAGTAGGGGAAAAGGTCCATGATCCACTGGTAGATCTCACTTAGCGTCAGCATCTTACTGGGTGCCTGCTGGATGGCCATGGTGATGAGGGAGATGTAGGAATAGGGTGGCTTGGCGTGGGGGTAGGTCCGCTTGAAGGACTTAGCGTCCCGCGTCCTGCCGAGGTTGGACTGGGTGTAGGCCATGGGGCTCATGCAGGGGTTCATGCCGCCGTAGGGGCTCAGCCCGTTCATGGGGGCCGGCTGTGCAGACATAGCGTTGATGCCGCCGGGGCTCAGCGCCGTGCCCATGGCGGCCACGCCGGCCGGCATGCCGTTCACGGGCCCCGCCGAGCCTGCCGGCATACCGGCCACGGCGCCGGGACTCAGCCCAGCCCCCAGCCCCGTGTTGGCGTAGGACATGTTGAAGGAGCTGGAGGTCATGTTGCCGCTGGTCGTCATCGTGTTCATGGTCATGTAGGTGTTCATGGTGTTCATGGAGCCCAGTCCCGAGTTCATGTTGCTCACGGGCACCGAGGAATAGGCCTAGGGCAGCGAGACAAAGAGAGGGAGTTAGAGGGGAGAGAGGTGCGGCGGGACCCCGTAAGGGCCTGATCCGCTCGCCTGGCCCAGCCAGCCGTTCAAACCTCCTGCTGAGGAACGCCGGCCGCTTCCCAGACACCAGGGAAAAGGCTTCCCTAAAGCCTCACAGAAAGGCGACTGTTGCCATGAAAGGGTTTATTTCATATTTATATACATTTATAAACAGACACGGAGCAGGGGTGCTCTCTCCGGACGCGCTCCCGGTTTACCGGCGTGTCGCAGCCTGCGCGGGCTGCACCGGGACGCACGGACAGACCGAATTCCCGGAGCCGCTCCACACCCTCGCGGAGCCAGGCTGCGGGCTCAGACAGCCCCGGGAGGAGGTGTTCTCCCTGCACATTCCCGTATTTTKTTGGTTTTGTGTCCTGTCTCGATAGCAAAATAAACTCATCAGAAATTGGTAGGCGTACACTGCGCCAAGGAGAAAGACTGCATGCATTTTTCTGAGAAAAATCCCACGCATCTCTCCACGCACTAATTCAAATTTATTTTCTAAGAAACATACAAGATGCATTAATGTCTTGTTGCAAAATAATTTTTTAAAACCCTCACCCAAAATAAATAGGTCTTGTTGACCCGTTTTATCTGTGGAAAGCTTTCCTTGTCTACATTTTCTATCAAARCAGTCTTTAAATTACAGTTAAAAAAAAAAATCAACCAGCCAAACACCCAGACTTTCCCAAAGCATGAAAAGCCTGAACTTTTCCTGGCTGTGATTTTCTACAATTGCACGACATAGAAAAAAATTGTAGCACCCTACCACATAACAGAACTCTTAAAAAAAAAGCAGAGCCGGAGAGCCTGAAATTGTGTTTTCCGGTATGGCATCTGATTTAATAGGAGAGAGAAAGATGTTCCCAGTTTACTGGAACTACGGCTAATATGGCTAAGAAAAGCAGGTTTAAACAACGGTTAAATATATAAAGTTCATTTCTGATCCTCACAAATTTCACGAACTTATAAACGCCCTTTTAATTTAGAGGATCACAACTATGTGAGATGGTAGAACTCGGCGGGGTTTCCCACGTTGCATTTATGCAGTTATTCAAATTAAATGGCAAGGGAGGAGAAAAGTCTGAAGTTTTAAAAAATAGCAAAAGCGAAGGTAGCTTAACTTTATGTTTATAGGCAATCAGTATGGCGAGGAAAAATTAGTCTGGAAACGGCACACAATTAGGATGACGCTTATTTGCCCTTAGCCGACTTTCCTTTATTAAAGGAGATGCCAGCCGGGTGACACGTATCTGCCTCTGTCCGCGTGGCCCTATGGGCGCGTGTGCCAGCTCCGGGTGCGGGACGAGGCGTGGGGACTGTGGAGCCGTGTCCGGGTATGCTGATGCAATGCCCGGGTGCGCACACCCAGGTGCTGCCTCGGTGCCGCACTTCCTCAAAACGACTCCTTCCCGGGCGGGAACCCGCGGTGCTGCCGGCCGTGCCGCCGGGCGCTGGCTTCTCCCGGGACCCCCGCTGCGGAGCCTCAGCGGCGCAGCGCGGACCCCAGGCCCCACAGGGCCGAGGCGAGCCGTGGGAAGGCTCCGCGCTCTGCCGTGGCCCTCTCCTCCGCCGCAGTTGTGGGCTTCGGGCCGGTTCTCCTCCTTAGGCGCTGTCAAACGGGCGCGGGGGGCGGAAGCGCCTCCGGTGTGCCGCGGTGCGGACCGGCCCGGGTCCGGGTCCCGGTGGGGGGCGGCGGGTCCGGGTGCGGGCCCCCTCCCCGCCCGGCTCCGGGGCGCTCTCGGCAGCGCCGCCAGCCGGCCCGCGGCAGCAGCGCGCACCGCAGGCAGCCCGTCCGCAAAGTACGGACAAACGGCCGCTTCTCCCACTCCTTTCCTTTCCCCGGGCTTTAACAGGTGAGGGCCCGCTGGCTGAGAGGAGAGAGGCCGGCGGTCCCGCCGAGAAGCTCGGGCAAGGTGCTGCCCCCGACCGGGACGCGCTTGCGTCCGTCTCCCTCGGCCCCTGCCATCTGCCGGGAAGCAGTCGGGGGCCGGCGGCGCGSCGAGTCCTCTGCCCCGAGCCAAGAGTTTACGGGGTGCTTTTGTGCGCGCCGCGAGAGAAGATTACGCCTCTTAGATGAGATCAAGGGCTACCCCCGGCCCCTGGCCCTCCTGACGGTCTCGCAGCCGCCCCGTGTCTTCCCCAAACGCCTCCAGGGCTCCTGGAAGCTGTGTTTTCCTTGGGGAAGCCTAGCCAGTTTCGGCGCCGGAGGGAGGGGGAGGTACGTTTGCGTTGGCAGGATTTGGACTGCAAACCGATTCCTTCGATTGCTGCCCCCTCCAGACCCCTAGCCACCCCCAGATCCTYCCCTCCCCTGCACAGGGGCAGCAGCGAAACCAGACCCTGGGATTTACTCACCTCCTGAGTGTCGGCGTAGTAGCTGTTCCAGTCGCTGGTTTCATGCCCTTCCATTTTCACAGTCCCTAACATTATGGAGCCAACCTGCCCGGTGTAACCATCCAGCCTTCTTGCAAGCGAGAGACGGCAGTAGAAAAGAGCCCAAAAGCTCGACCTAGCAGGAAGCCAGCTCCCAGGAGGGGCGGGGGGTGCTGAATTCTGCTCTATAACCAGCCAAAAAGGAGGCAGGGAGCGGTGCRGGGCGAGACAGTTGAGAAAGTGAGGAAGTGCGGCTGGGATGTGAGTGGAGTTGAGCTGATGTGGATCTTACGTCGCAGAAGTACCCACCTCCTCCTCCTCCTCTCCCCATTTGTCCGCCGCACAAAGGCGTTCGCACCTACAAAGCCAGAGATGCACCTGCAAACAAGGCAGTCCCCCTCGCCTGCAACTCCCCCCGGGGCGGCACTTTATTTGCAAAGCTGCGTAATTGGTTTAAGCTTGTGGGGAAAGAAGGAGAGACAGAGGTGGGAGAGGGGGAGAGAGGGGGGCGGGGGGCGGGACGGGACAGGGGATGGGCACGACCACCCTTTCAGGTGGACAGGATAAATGCTAGGAGGGATCCGGGAAAATTAAATTAGGTAGATGAAGGAAGGGCAGCCCCTTCTATTTGAGGAGAAGCAAAAGGCCATCCAGCCTTAAACCCCTGAGATTAGAGGAAATATTTATTRAAGTTCGGTAGATGCTCCTTTAGCTTGATGGCCAGGATGTGCTCCAAAGTCCAGAGTCTTGAAGTGCACAGATTCCCCCCTCTCCCGCTCCTCATTTCAAAGTTGGCTACCGGGCAGGTACTTCCAGGCCCTGCCGTGGCACCCCACGTTCCCATCGCCCTCGGGGCAGGGGATAGGATTAGGCACTCCGAGCTGTGAGCACTAGGCAGGGGATAGGATTAGGCACTCAGCTTCACGCTCCCCAAAACCTCCCAACCCTCCCCTCATACCACCCCATCCCCCTCTTTCTCTGGGCTAAACTAGCCTTTCAAACCGGGGTGCCGTCCTATGTAGATGGTGATAATGATATTGCTTTTTCGGGTGCCTTATGTTTAGGAACCATATGAGTCACCGTGCTGAGACATAATACTACAGGCACCCAATAAATTCGGCGAGAGGCCTGAATGCGGATCCACTGATATTAACCTCCGCTTGGCAAACATCAGGTGAGTCACTAGAACCATTTTATATCTTTACTGTGGAAAGCCTCCAGCCCAGAAGGCTCATTTGGAAGCTTTCTCTGATGCCAGACACCCAGGAGCAGCAATAATAGGTAGCGGGTATCTCATTTCCAACTTCTTGCTTATTGACCTGATTTCTCCCAAAGAACAGGGGAGGAAGAATCTACGCAGGCTGGTAAAAGGTAAAAAACACTGATAAAACAAACTGACATTGGACAAAGCTTTTTATTATTATGGAGGGAATCTCTCAGTCTTTGCAGATGGATCAAACATTTTCTGCCCTGTCCAGTTCTTCGAGCCTGTGTCAACACCACAGATTTTTCTTGGGTTTCTCTAGCCTATCCCTTGTGAATTCGTTCCCACCTAACTACTACAACTTTTATCACCTGAYAGGAGAAAACAAAATGCAAAAAGAAAAAAAAAATCTACATCATCAACTAGCAACAAACAGCTCCCCCCAAACCCAAACAACTTTTCCAACAGTGAGAATGTGAAGGGGGAAAACAGCTTTCTAGGATTTTGAAACAGGCTTGCCTATCATACCACACAAACTATAATACATACCTGGGTCTAAATTTCAGCTTGATGTGTTTATTGTTCAGTATGACCACAGTTGCTTCCACAGTGATTTGTTCTCGAGTGATCTGTGGAAATGGTCCTCACTAACAGGATTTTAATTTCTTATACAGACACTGGATTCAAATGACGAGATATAGCATATCTCTGCCTCGACAAATA